GACACAACAATATGCACAGTAAATAAATTAATAATATGCACAGTAAATAAATTGATGGTTGTCGAATGCCTGCAACAAACAATGGGTTAGTAACAAGAGAAAGGACGAGTATGAGACGTGCGCCCACCCTCCGCGACGGCTCACGAGAAAGTGAGGAAGCTAACGCCGTTATGTATTGGGCGTACGCAGGTTTGTTCGTGTTGAATTGTTTTTGCCGGCTTGAACGACCTTTCTTGAACGACCCAAACAGCGGATGGTACAGCCAGTTACGGCTATGGTACACGGCGTACCTTCCCTGTGTGGCGGGGAACAGAATACGCCCACGGTAATCCCTGCCTGTCGTAAGAGGCGACTAAAAGGGACAGTTGGGAATGTTGGGATCGCGGGACTGTGGCACCCGGGGTCCGGCGGGGGGGGGGAGCTCTCCGCTCCCCCCACCACAGAGAGGGCGCTCCGCCGTCAACTGGCGGAGCCGGCGCTGGGGAGGTACCGGTTGTGTTCGCAAGAGATCCCGGTGCCTCCCCGCAGGGCGCCGAGCCCGGCCACCGTGAGGTTTTAGTGGGTATTCCCCCTGGGCTTCGCCCTATTGGGGGTGAGTCCCACACTACCCCCGCCCACTCCTCCCACATTGGGGGGAGGGTGGGGGTGTGCGTAAACGCATTTCCTCACGTAAAAAAAAAAAAAAAAAAAGGCATTCCCGCAAGGGAAATTGTAAGCCGCCGGCCAAAAGGTAGAAGTGATAAACTATTTATGAAACTACATCTATTCTGAATTTATCTGTGACAAATATACAAATGTAAGGCAAGATATGAAAACGAATAAAATAAGAACATGTCAAAAGTAACATTACTAAAATGTCCATTAACGATGCATTTAGAATAAATTGTCTTATAGTTAAGTAAAAAATATATACTTTTCCGTTTCATGTTTCATGATTGTCATATTTATTCCTTAACCTTAAACTGAAGCATCGGATATTTTTATTCCCGTCAAATCATATAGATACACGCAATATGAATGGAATATATAACACTTTATTTGTGCTAATAATACTCAGAATTCATGCTTTATCGGTACCGTCAGGTATTGACACCAAAATGGTAACAGGGTTACGTAGCTCTATGAACGTGGGACAGAAAAATGCATTGGATGATAGGTGTATTCTATACCTAGTCGGTGGTTATATAGTATACAGTGAAGGAATAATTAGAAACAATGAAGAATAATGATTAAATTAATGATTATAAATTATAGTCTATATGTTACCTAGCAAATCATTCTTTTAGAATTTCTTGTTTTTTCTACTGATTTTTACAAACACGAATAGTAATGTAATTCATCGTAAAATCATATTGAATACGTTTTTCTGTTTAAAGATCAATGACTTACGATCGCTGTGAGCAAATTCACTCAAGGTAAAAAAATTGCAATCACGGTCGTGAATGAAGTTAAATCACGACCGTGATCGTGATTCGGCGATCACTGTGATAAATCATCGTTAGTGATTTTGCACGCCATCTCTACTACGGACGTAGCATGCAGTAGCATACATATTGAACAAGGTTATGTCAGACATAACATAGATGGTAGATGGAGATGCTGCAGGAAATAATGTAGAAAAACTTGTCTATATTTGACTATACCATTTTTGGAAGCTCACATCTAACCATGTATACTTAATTTTAATATTGACAATATTTAAATACACATTGTTTAATTATTAATATAATACAACATTCTTTTGCGTTGAAATTAATTACAATTACAATATCAAATGTTGATGGGTCGATACTTACTCCATTCGATACTTTCTTTCGATACCTACTTGGTATCGCAACCGTACGTATCGGTACCAAAAGTATCGAGTAATGTACTCGTATTGACTTGTATCGACTTATCCCTAATCCCTATCATAAGCCCCAGACCTTTACAAAACGAAAACTCCAAAGATTTAATCCATGGGTAGCCCCGCGCGCCCCTTGTCAGTCTTCATCGTATTCACTGATAATAACCAGTTGCACTTCTAGCAAAACGCGTATATCTCATGACTCTCTAAGTTGTATTTACAATTTACAGTATATTGACTCGTATCTTTGAATACGTATTTTGTAATTTAAATATTCAGTGTTTTTTTTTATAACGAAAAATTCATTTTTTTTTCTTCTATAACTATTGGTTATCGTAAACAAAGTTGTAAAAGTGCTTCGACAGAAAGCAAACTTTTAACCTACACTCGATTCTCTTCGAATCAGGCGTATTTAGAAATGGTTGATTGTTGGTGTTTACTGGCATTGACTATTGCTGACCAATAACCGACAATACGGATTTAGCTTCTTCCAAAATACCGATGCTCACAAGACTTGAATTTGAGCGGACACATGCAAACGTTGGATACGCAATTGTTTGACTTAGATAATTAAACGAACACCGGTGCATTTTTTGTAGTATAGTCACCGGCTAAACGCAGGAATGGTAACCACACTTTTGTTTAGATTAGCGTCGAAATATGCTAATTATTTGAGTATTTTTAATTGATAATGTTCTATTGAATATCAACTTTCTGAAATATTTGTGTAAAACCTTATATTTTAATAATTTTGTGTCAAAGATGTCGACCAGTGTTCAGTTAAATGTACTTTTTTTTAGAAAGTCCATTAAACTGTATCTTCATATCTTAAAATACATGAAAAAAAATAAAATACTATACATTTATTTTTTGATTTCAGTCTCATACAATATTACTTGTTCAACCAGGCAACAGACCTGAGACAAGAACATATTCAGACTATGAAAGTGTTAACGAATGCATGGAAGGTAATATAATTTTATGTCATTCATATTTTATAACCAATCCTTTGTGTTAATCATAAGAGTATGTAATACTTAGTCTGTGGCACTAAGTACAAGTACAAATGAATTTAGAGATGTTCGTTAATTGATATTTGATCGTTATATGTTTCATCTCCCTTTAGTCTATCAATTTTTCAGAACAAAAAACTTAACTTGTACTAATGGTGATTCAGCCACAGTGTTAAAATAACTTGGTATATTTAGATTATTGTTGCATATGGCTTGCATATCATAACTATAATATACGTTTAAATGAACATTCAAAATTTATTTATTACTTAATGAAATAGTATCATTCTATTGATTACTGGAATATCAATTGATTGTATATAATAGAAAAATAATTATAATAATTTTTGTTTAATACAGGAGTATGCAAGATTTATGAGGAGCATTTAAAGAGGCGAAACCCAAATACTCCAACCATAACATATGACATCAGTCAATTATTTGATTTTATTGATCAACTCACAGATTTATCATGTCTTGTTTATCAAAAGTCTACAAATACGTATGCTCCATACAACAAAGATTGGATTAAAGAAAAAATATATGTTTTATTACGCCGAGCTGCAGGACATAGCGAGTAAAAATAGATAAAGATAGACATATGTTTTTAAGAATAAGACAAATTAACTTTAAGTAAAGGTCTATATTACCGTTTGTAATAATAAATACATAATCGAAAAACAAATTATACTGTTAAATTTTCTTTTTAATTAATATGTTTTCTTATTACTTGAATTATTTTTGTATCTCCAACACTGACTGACGTTTATAATAAATCTTATGCGAGCATTGATTGAGAAATGACTAAATAGCTTCAGTTAATTACCATGATACAAGTTAATATTTCAGTAACAAATAAATGGAAACAATACAAAATAACAAGAGACAATATGTACGTTACCAAAAGTAGCAAGTTTCATACATCTTAACATATGAAACTTGCTACTTTTCGTAACGCGCGTTAATATAATAAATTAAAAATTTATGATTACAGTCATCCCAGATTGGACAAATTTGTTTGTTTTTGAGGAGTGTTAGATAGAGATCCCTCTACTCTTAATGCTATCAGAGAAATGACACGTGCTAACCATCTGGTGTCTTTGGGCACATTGGGTCTATTGTGGTGCCATAAACTTTAGCTTGCCATCGTATTATAAATTCGACATTGTCGATTGGAAGATGAAGTGTAGAGGTCTGTTAAGTTTCCCTCGTTCACTAGTTGTAATTCAGCTTTAGGATACAACACTTGTTAAAAACTGATGGCGTCAATTGGATTGTTCCCTTTGAGCACATAGAAATAGAATTTCCTTTTCCACCACCTTTGCATGTTTTTCGAGATGAGGCCAAATATATTAGTGCTATCTACAGATGATACCCCTTATACTTTAGTCAATATAGAGAAGTGTTAAAAAAATTTCGATAACTGTTGCTTCTAACCATATAATGATCCTTTTATACACATTGCTGACACAGGCCTTGTCAGTTAAAGTGATCAAGATAGACCATTAACAAGAACTTGTCGAACGTTTCTCAAGATTTCAAAACGTAGGCAAAACATACCGAACATGCCTTGCGTAATCGAAGGTCTCCACAACTAACAATTTTGAAAGTGGATTACAAAAATCATAAAAACCCTTTATTAATACTGTAGTTTGTATATTAATTTTAGGTAAAAGTGAAATTTATACGTAAAAATCGAAATATAATTAGTATAAGAACACATAATGGGCTCATTCAATCTATCGGTGCACTCCTTCAGTTCAATAACAAGCATTATTATAAGTATAACTGAAAACTGTCCAACCAATACGCAGGTATAAACATATAGTTGTAACTCAATATTTATTTATCTTATTATAAGCAGTTAAGATTTAACAAAATAAATGTCGATATGATTTTGTTTTACACAATGATACTGATCAATTCGGAAAACTAAATTTTCTTTCATTTTAAGTAAACATTCAGGATATAAGCGAGTTTCGCTTCATTCAAAAAAATAATACGCGATTACAATCAAGACTCCCATACTGTACATCCTTTGCTCGGTTCACATACATTATATTACATTAAAAACTACACGAATTCATTCTTTCAGCATGTCAAAGGACGGCTCGGACTTTGTTTCGTTACTTCAAAGGCAAGATCGTCACGCATTTTATTTATTCGGTGCAAGCGATCAGCGGGCGGAACCGATAGGAAAATAAGACACCCAGAGAACAAAATTAAAATTTGTATGCTTCCTGAACAATATTTATAAAGTCTTCCCAATAATAGGTCAAACGCGACTTAATTTGGAATTGTATTTTAATTTTGCATAACGTTTTCTCAAAAATTATAAAACTTTTTATTTTTATTCCCTGGATGACCTATCTTTCTGTTGCTGTTTATTAGGCCACAATCGTTAGAGCAAGCATGTATAACTGATGCCTTCATGAATGAGACTACTTTTTATAAAATTAGGCACAGGCAGTAGTCTAGTAGAAGTGACATTTGTCAAGCGGATCTGATCCACAAGATACATTCACATAATGCTCCATGACGAAACTATGATTTCTGAAAGTGTGGCTTGCATGCACTTGTACACTTTTCACTTCTTCTTAATGAAAACAGTTCGTGCAAACGCCAAGTTGAACGTGCTTGCTCTAGATTTGAAGTCTGTTCCGCTATTCGAATACAACATCTAGGCGTAGAAAATTTGATATATCTTTCACAATCCGTGTGCGGATCGTCAGATTGCAGACTACTATAGGAACATCACTGTACATCAGATGTTATTTACTCTCCATACATGTAGCCCAGATGCTCCGATCGACTCTAGTCATATTTTTATAACAACCGTGAATCATTATCAACTAATATTCTCGATTTGATTTGTACACATTATGAGTTACATTTCGTGCGAGATTCCATCAACACAAGGCGCTCGTCTGAATCGTAGAAATTCTATAATTCCAAGACTGAGGTAAAAGAAACCCTTGCTTGATCGCAAACGTATTTCACATTTTGATACACAGTATCGATACCACCGAATATGTACAGTATGAAAGCCACTCTTGTATATTAAAGGGTACATACGTGCGTTGTGTCGAAAAATACATATCGTTTGAAAATGTTTTTAGATGAAAACAAATCTTATCGAAATCTGAACCGTGTAGAATTTCAAGGAATGTACTTAAATCTAACAATACTATAAATTTAGTCACAAGGTATTAAATATTATGAAAGTAGATGACAAAATCTAGTCTTTGCAGTAGTCGATTTTCAAAATACTTATTTCTCGTAAAATGGCAGCCATTTAACGTGGATACGACGATTTTCCACTATAGAAAAGCTCCTCTTTTTATTTATAGAAAGATCTAAGTGGCGTATCACAAAACTCCTGCGATAAAGACTAGATAATTCGATCTAGAGTAACCGTTTTAGGAACTCTATTTCAAGAAAAATGTGTTTAAACATCTCAGATCTGCGTGGCAGCTAACTGTGACTGGCTGTACTAACACCTAACTAACTTTGTTATTTTAAATAATTTTAAGTTGAATTTTTGTAGGAATATTGTGGAAATATTATACTTTGGAAGCAACTTTTCAACAAAATAAATCGGTTTTTTTTTACTCCGGTTGGCCGTATGTAGCCCTTTTACAAACAAAATAATATTTAAGAGAATCCACAAATATACAAACTTTGTTTTTGATAATTAGACTGCAGATGTGTATGCAAATGTAACTTTTTCTGGTTAATTAATAAAAGGAGGAATTAAATAGAAATTTTTTTCTTTTATTAAGGATTTTAACAAGGTAAAAACAAAAGTTTTATTAAATCTGTATTCAGATTTTTATTTTATTGTGTTTTGCAAAGTCACGTGTGCTATAAATGCATGAAATCCACAGTCTGTTGACAATCAATACGAAACTAAGTTTTACTATGTAAATATGTCATTTTTTTTAAATTTGAAAAGTTAGTACGCATGCAACAGAATATTCATGATCATCATGAAATCTTGTTTTCCGATACTCTTTATGTAAATAAAACAGTTTACTAAGATCTGTACTGTTAGTAATAATATAGTAAATTTTTCTCATAATATGAATTCCGAAATCACTAATTAAGTTATTATCACTAGAATATTTTTCAGCAATTTTTATAGAACAATACTGGTGAAAAGTTAATATTATTCTTACATTTTAATATATAACAGAGTCAAGAAATAACAACTTTTCAATAATATAAAACGTATTGTACAAAACAGTTCTTATGTTACAAATACATAACTTGATAGTTATACTAATGGTTTAGTTATATATTTAAATAAACATTTTGCATAAAACATATGTATCATGTTTAACAGAAAGATGAAATTACTAAATCAAGTATTTAGTTAAGTAACTATTTGAATGTAATAAATTTGAACTACCTTATCAAGTACATGTGAAACCATACATATGTACGTTTTTACTATATATCTCGATTTTATTAATTTTAAATTATACGAGTAATATAAAATGACTAATTTAGATAAAATCTATAATATTATTGTATCGATTTTTCATTATCACAGATTGTTTTGGTAGGCCTACTGTCAACATTAGACCTTGAAGGCCTACAGTGGACTAGTAAAATCTATTTAAATACCATACTAAATGTGCAGGTAGACATCACGTTTCTAGTGCTGGAAAGAGTCTTGTTAGCACAAAATAGGCTACATCATAGTTACTCCAATATGTTGTATGTGCTGCTACCGTGTACAAATAATTTCTTCCCAAACTTGCTCGAAGTACGTAATCTAATCGTTGTGTTAATTCTGTCAAACATAAAGACATATTTCATTATTTTGTTGTGTGCATAAGTCATAATATTATTAAATATACCTTGCCCTGGTTGAAGTGGAGTAGATGCATCTTCTTTAGCATTCCAGCCAGCCCGTACTAAACCCCAAAGACTCCAACCTTTATCTACAGTGCGGTTAGACATATCTGGACTCTCTGCTCTTTCATCTGTTTCTATAATAACATGTTGTAAATATATTTAAATGCGATCTTTAAAGAAATTATCGTTTCAAAAATAAATGAAATTTTTTCTACATACCTGTCGGAGAAAAATTCTGATCAGCAGTACTCATTGATGGAGGTGATTGTTCTGTCTGTTGACCATCAACTCCTCCATAAGGTGGAATTAGAACTGGTTCGATTTTGCTATAACCTCTTTCTAAAAGTGGTTCCATTCTATAAGCTACAGGATCAGACCAGTGAAATATATTGTAAAACCTTTTGCATAAATCTTGAGGCATCACATCTGTTTTAGTGGATGGAGAACGTGTACGTAATGCAAGGAATACAGATAATGGAGAACCCAAGCAAAATAAATTTTCAATCTGCAATTATGAAAATACTCATAATCTGCAATGTTTATAATCCTACATTATGATTTTTCTATAGATATTTTACATACTAAATTGGAAAGTAATTATACTTACTAGGAACTGTAATCGTTGCAATAAAACTTCTTGTGTTTCTGGGGATGGGGGTCTTGTATCTGGACCCATCCAACCTGTGACAATGTCATAAACAATTACACATCCTAAAGAATGTGCCAAGATTGAAACTTTTCCTTTCCAACCTGGATGACGACTAGCAAACATAAAGTATAGTCTATTTAATTCTTTTTGTAAACCTGCTCTTACTTCTCCACCATATAGAGGGCTTGTATAATAGAGTATATCCATTGCTGACGTATTTAATAAATGTCTTATACTTAGTACACTATAAGGTGTAATAGCATCTACAATATCTAAAAGATTATTTATTAAAGTAGAAAATTGAAATGTTTTATTTAATAAATACAGTAAAAAAATAGAAAACAACATGTTACAGAATGATAATTATGTAATAAATGTTTACAAAAGTAGAGTAAAACAGTTTTTTACCTCCATCAAGTTTTAATGAGGATCGCCATTCAACAGGAAAAAATTCTACTCTATAATTGGAATTGGGGAAATACTTCTGTTTCAGCCAATCTACACAATCTCTAAATCTGTTTAAATGTTTAGTATATTACTGTAACTATATAAAACCACCATATGAAAATTATAATTACTGATTAGATTTACATACGATGTTGTATTACGTATAATTTTTCCTGTATCTCTTTTTTGACCAATTCCATGAACTACAAACACTAAATGATCAATATCATGAGGTTTGTCCTCCATTGCTGCAAGAACTTTATAGCCTCTTCTTAACTGATACCCTGTGGCTGAAATATTCATTATAAATAACATAATATAATTGTATTTTATTTTTATCCATAGATAAAAAAGTACCTACTTTTTGCAAATCCTAATTTTGTTGTGACGCTACGCATTAATTTACTATGTCTATATTCACTGTGTAATACCACATCATTTATACTATGCCAATCAACATGAAATTCAGAGAAATGTTCTGTGTGCAATACTGAAATAATAAATACTTAAATCACAATATATAAAAAGGAAATTAAATAATTACATTAATTTAAGATTAAAAATAATACATCAAATTAAAGGAAAATTTATACTTTTATAAGAATGAGAAGGTGTATCAGATGCTGAAGTAGATTGACCTGGAGGTTGTTTTTGAAAAAGATTAAGATGAACTTCTTCTATGACTTTGGACTGTTCTGACTCCAAAGGTATCCAACTACCATCGTAATACCAAGTACCTCTCATAATTTCCCATTCTTCACCTTTAAACAAATTAAAATTAATAATAATATTTACATTGTATTAAATCATATACAAATAGATATTACGTAACATCTATAACTGAATAATAAGTTAAAGTTTGTACGTGTAAAGTATGAAAAGCAAAAAAAGGGAGTAATTTTAAACATGTATATTAATATCTATTTTGTGTAACAGTTTACATTTATTATATTTAAAATGAGAGAACTTTATAAACTCAATAACAAAGCAAAATATTATAATAGAGATAACAAAATACATGCGATGACATGAAATTAGGATGTAAACTAGAATTTTACTTATTCTATAATATTTTAATTCTTTTTAACTATGCCAACAACAATATTCACAAATAAACAATAACATTTAAGTAATTTGATTACTGATAAACATGCATGAACATATACAAATGTAAATATGCAAACAAAAATATGTATACCTGGGCAATATATTGAAACACATTTCATTTTATCAATTTCCACATCATACATTCCTCCTTTAACTACAATTTTTTCTACAGGAATCAAATTATTCGATGTGTCATGTTTACTAAGCAAACTTTGATAATTTCTCCAAGCATTTTCAATTCGTAAACTGTCATATCCACAAAATTCTATCCATCTTTTGTCTACACCGTCTCTATAAAACCAGCGAACTTGCACTGATGTCAATGGTTCTGCATATGTTAAATCATTTGTAATGTTTTCTGTTTCTTCCATTGAATTTTGTTGTGTAGTAACTTCCATAGTCCCTTAAAATATTTAATTTCAAATTTAATATTATTTTAATACATATAAGTCTACAATACTCATGTTATTAAAGTTAATAACAATCAATATTAAATAAAAATATTTGATCTCTTTTAAAAATTCTTTATAGAATTTGTAAATCGCTTTGAAATTCGCGCGCATTTAATTATATACAAGTATATAGCGCAAAAATTTTAATTGCAGCAACTTTGCGCAATTTCTATACATTCAATCGCGGTTTTTGTATTGACTAAAAACATACGTATTATGAATATTGTAAACATATGTTTTGCGTCTTATTCGCAAAAATTAATTAAACAAATAATTGCTTAAGAGGTACCTAAATTCATACATAAATATGACTTAAATTGATTGTACATGCAATTTGATATTGTAATTTCTAATTTTACCTTCAAATTGTTGGAATTCTAGGGGTGTCTCACTGAAAGGATCAACTTCACTTCTGCTATCAGACATCCTGTCAACGCGTAATCGTCAATAAATACTTTACAGGTTGTGTGATTATCAAAAAATCACGATATTATAAATCACATAAATGGTGGACAATCCATGACAACTGTTTAAATCTAGTACTTTCATAAAAAGTAGCATCAATTATTAACACATGCCTGTCATCGACGAAAATTTATGATCATTATATAGCACCCATCTATCAGTGTAAAATATCACTTTCAATTTATAAGTGGTATTATATAGGCAATGTCGTTTCTGGTTACAGTGCAAGAAACTCCGTAGACAGCACGATGTAACGTCTAGAACTAACTAATGAATAAAATCGTTCTCCGCAGTAGTTGCGACGTTATCTAAAAACTGATATAGAACTCTTCCTTCACAACGTACCGTTCACCCCGCACTATCTTGGGCGACTGTTCCTCTTTCAGTGTGCATTGGTGTGCATGCAGCAGTGACTTCTGCATTCAACGGTAAACAGTGATCTGTAGACGCAATGCATAAAATAGTATGCGATATGGACAATTTACGTATTATACTTTTATGTTACTATGTACATACAATTGTATGTACTGTGTACTATGCACATAATCCGTAAGAGCGTATATATATGTATATATATAGATAGATAATTAAACACAATTACATGAATCATTTAAGAACGATTTGCGGGAAGTCTAACGTAGTAGAAGTATTTTCTCATACATTATGAATCATTTTTTATAGAATTTGTGTTAATGTCAGTTAATGTCAATCTGTCGAGTTAACAGAATTTAATGTGCATGTATGTTTTACGAGTATGTTATAGAGATTATGTGAATTGTTTATTTTGACTACACTTATTTAATTTCAATATAGACTTTCGTTTTTTAATGATGAAATTCATAAAATTATTTTTTGTTTATGTAGTAATGTAGTAACGAATACGATTTTACGAAAAACGTCTCGTTTACAAATTAATTCAAGCGCAATCGGAAACCGAATGTATGATTTTATTCGTACTTTGAATAGAATAATGAATTTTGTAAGTTTTCCCTAATTTATGCAATAGATACGTTTTCCCTAATCAATGCGATAGATACGTGTATAATAAATTTACATTGAAATTTCATTAGCATAATGTTTAGAATACAATGCACAGTTATCACAATATAGTTGACAAGTAATATGTTTTTATACTGTCATTAACAACATTTTAAAATATTTTTATAGGATAACAATGATTCACTATTACATGTTCCATAAAAGAGTATATTATTTGTAAATAATAGAATATCAAATCAACAAACTTCAAACTTATTATGAATAGTATACGTTGAAATAAAATAGTTTGATTTTTACAAATGTTGCACAATTAGAAAATGTTTGGGTTTAAGATGGAGATAATTGTAATTCATCATTTTTTGCAAGTAGAGACACAGAGGAAATATTGAAATTCTATTGTTTTAAGCAACGTAACATATTTTTTGTTTATTTCCTAATAAAACAATATGGAATGTCTGTGTATATAATCAGTCAGTCATTGAAGCTTGCCTAGAAGAAAATAATTTATTTCAGTGAGTTAATTAAACACATTCTGTGTGGGTCTACTAATTTTATAGTATAAAGGCAAATAATGTATGGCATAAATTTATATAGTCATTTTCATTCATGGTGAATGCCATGAAATTATGAGAGCTCAAACATTGTATATAAATTTTAGAAGATTTCTTGATTGTGTTGCATGTTCATAACCTGCTTTAACAAATGTAATTAAAAATTATCAAGCAAATGAAAATGTATATATGTATAACAAAAACGCATCAAAAGCGTTATAAAAGATCTAAGAAATCAACTGATGATGGAAATAAAATGTATACAACAGTACAAGACAACTTCTCTACTATATATGAATTCATCAATATCTACATCATGATCATTTGGAAAATCATTTACAATTTCGGAAATGGGAAATATAAATTGCAAAAGAATTACTGCTTAAAATTTTGTTTATGAACAAAATTTCATTTGCAAACATGGATAAGTGAATCTTTGCTGAATTCACTACAAGTCACTTAAAAATTCAAGAATATATTAGTGACTGACAAGAAGAAGGCTTCAATTTCGGATTGTCGATTTTAATGGAACTTTTAGGTCATGTAGTGGGCTTGTTCCTCTTTACAACCACCCTCCCCCCCCCTCCCCACATATAGGGGCTGATCCTTAAAAGTTTTTGAGTTATTTGATTTTGAAGTTTTCCGTGTGACATCGATACCAATCGATACAAACCTTTACATATGTCTCTGCAAGATTTATCACCTTATTACCCTGATAACCGCTGGTGTATAAGTTTCGAGCAAATTGCTAGCAATAAATGACAAAAGTTGTCTAAAAAACCATAGCCATCTGTTTCCGCATTTGATGTGGGTTTTGCAGGCAATGCCAGCTGACAAAATGGTGAAACAAATTGACAGAATGTCTTGCAACCTGATCTATGTCAAATTGAGGACAAAACCTGAACAAGGTTTGCGCAAGTCAATTTTCTGCCTATGTTGCTGTTAATGTGCGCATAAGTTGTTTATAGCAAATCTTGCATCAAACTTGTAATCATAACTTTATAACAGGCATTAGACAAAATTTGGCTTTGCAGGTTTGGCTGACTACATAGGTACATCATTATTGTTATCTGTGTACCAATTTAGTGTACCTGTGAAAATTTCGCTTATTTTATATAAACAATCATAGACTTTCTTAACAGCATTTTTTAACATCACGCGATTAGGAAATCAATATTAGCCATTATGATCATCAAATTTAACACTTTTAATCTTTTATTCATGAAGAATACTAAAAGACAAAATATAGAACCAGATACGAGAGAAGACATCAAAAGATCTCGTCTTTGTTAGAATTCAACTAAAATTCAATGTGTAATATTATGAGATTCCATGTAGAATTGCTTTAAAGCATTTATCAATGTTCAAGGTTATTCGTTTCAACGATAGTAAGAACAGTACATCTATCGAACAAACAATACATAAGTGAGCATAGTACTGAAATGTCTAAGTTATTCAATGAAGTAAGCTAATAACCTTCATAATTGACCTTCAACAATCATAAATAAACTTCAACCACAGGTTACCGTATGCATTTTAGAATACTCTGTTAGAAGGGAAGTGAAGGAATCAGTCATATCGTGATAATTATGCAGCGAAATTGACCTTTATATTTTTTTTACACCTTTATCTACAAGAAGATTAATCTTCCAAAGCTAAGCAATATATGCATATGCAAGTATTTCTTGTTATTAAGAAAATAGATAAATTATGCAAGTAGTTTGTTTTGAACGCTTTATCTTGTACATAATTTTACTGTACACGATTTTATATCAACCATGAATAAATTCTGTACCATAGATAAATATTGCCAAATGGATAATAACTTGCAACATTGAATATTCATTATGTCAAAGCATTCTTTTTATTTCGATAGAAACGTGAACTGAATTTAATGCAACAAATTACATTAATATTCCCCCATAATTAAAGCCTATATTATTTATATGGCATTCTATATAATTTAACCTGTTGCAATTCAATTCCTCAATAATTAGTAAAAGTCTGGAAAAATTTTCTTTCATAATTTATTATTAAACACAAACTCAATATTGAACCAAATACATATGTAAATATTTATTTGTCCACGCTTGTTCTACTTTTCAAAAGATGGTATGAAAAAACGGCTTAACTATTATGCTACGATGTAACGAAAAGCGAAACTCAATGTTATGCGCACGTGTTGTTCTATTAGTAATCGACTCTTCAACCTTTGATTTCTAAGGCTGCGATTGTAGTAAAGTGGTGAGAAGCGAGGATAATTGCGAGGTGAGCAGTTCGGCAAAATCAAACCAATGGGCGGCATTTCAATGCGAGTGTTTATAGTGAAGCAGCGAGGAGAACCGCAAGGAAGGCGGCGTATAAGTAGAGTGGTGCAGCTAAATGAACACAGCTAATTTTCAATGCGAGTGTTTATAGTGAAGCAGCGAGGAGAACCGCAAGGAAGGCGGCGTATAAGTAGTAGTGGTGCAGCTAAATAAACACAGCTAAGTATGCATTGTATGTATTATATATAGAAACAAAAATGTTTGTTTCTACTAACTTGAACTCTGTATTTTCTTGCCTATCTTTATGTAGGAGATGAACTGACCATCTTCTGATCCTGTTTCTTAAACTTAAATTATCTGAAGCTAATACATAATATTTAATTACAGTATTTTTTGGAAGCATAAATTTTTGAAGTTTTGATAACAACATTTTGAGACCTCTGAAGAAAAATAGCCCGATATAGTATTTCGTTCCTCGTTGCTCTCCGCTTAACCATAAACATGCACTGCACTACTTTACTAGCCTTACAAGTACTCTTCTATCTTGTTGCTACTTTACTATAATCCCGTTCTAAGATGCTTGCAAATTAGATGGTGTAATGTAAAGAATTTCTTACACTTTTCCTTCCTTTTAGATTTATTCAGAACATTGCACAGAAATATATTTTGATGTAAAACAAATTGTTCTATGAAAACGAACATGTTAAATATATTATTTATATAAATCTGTACAGTAATTATATAAAATAGAGCCCATTTCGCATATTTCAATGAACTTAATGTATGTTATGAAGGTCAATATTTTCTGTACACTAAATTCTCTACCTATCTAAAATCTTTATTGAGCATTTATATGCTCGAATCTTTGGACCGCTTTGGAGTATTTATAATAAAGATATACGATTTCCACACCTCACAAATTTCAGGTCGATCCTCGGCAACTCGTCTTTGTATGTTGCTGTCCAACGACGATTGTGGGACCGTTTAAAGAATGAATCTGAAAGACTGGACAAGATTCGAGGCAGCAAACAGAAACAAAATTGTGCATTACGACAAAGTACATTAACAATGAAAAATTAAAGTTTTATATTTTTGATTTCAGTGTTATGAAAATATTTTTAAATTATTCGTATGGTATTTCTAATCAAGCCTTATGTCAATAACCAACATTTTTTACGATGTTGAATAACGTGTCGCGGCTACCATAGCCGGATTCTACACCTTTGATTTGGTGAAGATACAGGTAAGAACGTTGCTGCAAAATTGATCTTGACCTTGAATTTAAAGGTCAAAATTTTGTGTCATTGCATTATATTCTACTCATCGTGAAGATAAAAAGCCTGAGAGGAATCATTGATCGCAACTGAACCAACTCTTGGAAAATTATGTGAAAGTTTCGTTCGCATTTGGACTCACATTATTTACAATGTGCTTACATTTTTCAGTAAAATGCAAGGTAAATAGCATCTATTGTCACGTAAATATCCCAGATACACCATTACATATCCCATATCTTCCTTTCTTTCTTGCTGTAAAACGTTCACAGTTCGTTATCTCATGTGTATATGGGTTAGCGTACTCCCGATGCACACTTCGCTATCACATATAGTACAGTCGTCTTAACAGCGTATAAAGGCCTCCAGCGTACTGGCGCGTAGTTACAGCAACTGACTATATATAACAGCTGACGTTTGCGTCGGGAGTACGCTGACCCATAGATATATGGGACATCGAACTGTGAATGTTTCATAGCAAGGAAGATGTGGGACATACAACATGTATCTGGGGTATTTACGTACGACAATAAATGCTATTTATGTTGCATTTGACAGAAAAATGCAAGCACATTGCAAATAAAGTGAGTCAGAATGCTAACAAAACTTTTACATAATTTTCCAAGAGAATGGTTCAGTTGCGACCAATGGTTCCTCCCAGGCTTTTTATCCTCACGATGAGTAGAATATAATGCAGTGACACAAAATTTTTACCTTCAAATTGAAGGTCAAGGTCAATTTTACTGCAACGTTCTTACCTATATCTCCATCAAATCGAAGGTGTAGAATCCAGCTATGGTAGCCACGACATGCAGTTTCTTGACAGCCTGTACAATATTTACAATAATGAGATGTATATAAGTATAATACATTTATAACTTACACAAAAATTACATATTTTACCGAAAAATTTGTCATAAAATCTTCCGTCTTTTATCCTTTGTGGGTCCTGCCATTATAGAAATGCACTGAATAACAAATAACATACATAAATTATTTTATTAATAATTAATATTCAGATACATTGTAAATTTACCAATGTATAGTACTTATCTTGAGTAAGGTGATGATGAATTTTAAATGAACTTGTTGCAACTCCTGTGTTTGCTGAATTTCTTTGCATGATATTTTCTGAAGTGAGGTCCAGACTGGTTTTTCCATCTTCGATCGTCCTAAATTTTTATTCATTCCTATCAATAAAAAAGTATTGTTTTAAAACTGCTACCAGCATCTGAATATGAGTCGGCGCTGTTGCACTTATATGCGTTAATGCTTCAAATAAATATATTAATCTGCTCATATTATTTTCATCTTGATCTCTCTGATCAAGTATTTCTTCTTGTTGTTCATCATGTTCTTCATCTTTACTATCATCGCATACTTCTTCTTCAAACTCTTCCTCCTTGATGATAGTTTTCTTTTCTGCTTCCGTAGATACAGATACAAATTCTGTAACTTGGTCTTCCATGGATTTTTTACTATGTTCACGTAAGCGTATATCGTGGCGCCTTTTAAATGTCCCAACCCAACCCATGCTCACTTTGAAATCTGAAGATGATTCAATATCCTTTTTGAATTCGATAGCTTTGTCTAAAAGTATAGCGTCTGATATAACATCCCCAAGTGCCCTTCTTTCTGCATACCATGTCAGCAGACGGTGATCCAGTTTTTCATACGTTGGTTTTTTAAGAACTCGCCGTTTCTTCTGTTCCTTACTCTTGTTTGTAAATTCACTAATGACTGCAGCATTTATGTTTATCCGACGAATTGTTCTCGGGTGTACACAATACTTTGCAGCAATCGTTGAAACAGATTGTGTCTTCAAATCTTCCAGAATCTGCAGCCGTTGTTGCATAGACAAAACAACTTTCTTCTTATTCGCCATGTCAGACACTTTAAACTAAACTACCACTAATAACTGCTACTAACAACTACCGCTGATAACCTGAGTTGACCCGAGTTGCCCGAAGTAATCAGTGATGTCCGTGATGCTAGGTGATACCAAGAATCATGGAATGTGGGATTCCGGGTTGTGGACAAACCGACAAACGGGCAGTGAAGGCAGTGAAGCTAGTGAAGGTGAATGATGAAACCCGAGAAGCACCGAGAAGCCAGACGCGGGGCTATCCATGAACTAAATCCTCGGTGTTTTGTAGAGGCCTAGGCCCTAGGGGTCATCTGGCGTAGACGGACCATACACTCCCTGCACACCGTGCGACGTTTATTGGTACTAATCCATGGTGACGTCACACGCTTGAACAATATAAAGGATGTTTCAGCAGACATACCCAGTCAGCCAAACCTGTTAGATGAAGTGTAATCGATGTAATAAAATAAGTTGCGCAGTTCTACTGCATTTGTGACGTGAAGCTGTCGTCAAAATATTAGCAGGTCTCTTCAATTTCTAACGTCGCATCATGTCATCAGGCCTGTTATATTTCTGCTGCTAGTTTACTTCAGTATTGCTGTAGCAGACCCTCTAGCGAATTTGCAACAAATCTGCACATCAGATCTACAGCAGAATCTAGTAATATTTGTTTAGAGCAGGTCTAGCTGACTGGGTAATATTCACGAAATGTGAAAGAACAAAATTTATTATAGGATCCCTAGTCTACGCGAGACAAGATAAGACTCCTAGACCTCTATCACAGCGGACTGTTTTTTTTTTTTTAACGTAGGGAAAACCTTGAAAAGGTGCACCGCCTCCGCTGGAGATGGCTAATGTAGGATTTCACCCACTAAAAACCCCCCGGTGACCCTCGGGCGTAGAAGCCATAGACATATATAGACGGAGCCTGAACTGAGCGGGGGAGTAAGATTCACGGTAAGGAGGTGGTTAGTTATAAATCGGGTAACTTCATTCCTTTCCGGTGCTATTCGGGTATACAATCACGTTATATACATGTATGCTATGAGAGATGAAAAGAATATACTTATTATACGTTAAAAATTCCGTATGTCATGTAGTTTGTATAGATATATGTATTTAACAAAATTAATAAATAGTATAAAGCATTAAATAACAGTACGGTACACAGCCGACCAGCCATTAATAACGAGCCGAATGCATCCGAAGCTAATCAACGTATATCTAACGACCGCTGTCTTTTCCCCTCCAATCCTACGGTCCCCTCGCCCAAAGTGGTAGCTTATGCTCCGTCTATATGTATATGCTTACGGTATATACGACCATGGTATATACAGCTCAGTGATACAATTGCATACAGTTGCACATGACTGATAGCTGCTGATGGGTGCATACAATTCTAATAGGAGTTATTAGGTCTGGATGGTCCTGGAAATTGCAGGGACGTTTTTGAGATGACGGAGTTAAATAAACACGAAATTTCTGTAATCGTTGAAAAAATTCGCAGTTCTATGCGTGGAAGTGTTGAATAAACTAAACATGTGCCTCTTTCTCAGTTTGTTAAGCCATTAGAAAAAAATGATTTGTAATATTCATTCGACTTCGTTTGGATGTATGATTCATTTTCCTAATTATCGTTTTATTCTGTCAACGTTGTTATTATCAACTCATTCTCTTTTTGCAGCGTCCGCAACATTTGGTCGGTGATGTAAATAAAACCGTTTACGTCATTTATTGGCCATGATCGGTTCACAGGTGTGAAAAGTAAACAGACACGTGTCAAAACCCATTGTTTCCGAAAATATTTCTTTTATTGTGCGTACCGGAAAGTCGTTTTAGACTTACAAACAGTGTAGTCACTTAAAATTGCGATTGAAACTAACTGAACATGGCACTTCCAGTGATAGTGTTCACAATTTAAACCACTTGCCTGTGACAATTAACAATAAGAATAATCAAATACGATTTTGTTTTTTTTTTACACATAAAGGTAAGATATAATTACTTGAAATAAAATATTTGCAAACATTTCTATGAACAATTAGTAATGCATATTCTTTCTAGAATTGCTTTTATATCTATAGCATGCAGAGTCTATAAATGACCTTGTATAATGTTATCCTTTTATCATAGATAAATTTTAGTTTATCTACTTTATCTAATTATATTTATTTCTTGGACACACGGAATCAAGATTCATAGGAATTTTATTATGAGCCATAGTGTTTGACTCATCTAATACATAATAACCATGTTGGAAACATGTCTGTCTACTTCAAGAATTCTATATTTTTAGAATAATCAAGACAATTTTGGTATACAATTTATAACTACATAAATTTTCAGATATTTTACATACTAATTTAATGGTACAGTATAAAATTATTCCTATTATATTAACACATTATTATATTGCAGCAACCTTACTGAGAGCTGTGTTGCTCCTATTGGTGTCTGCTAACAGAGAAACATGAACTTGTTATGCTGACTGTAATATTTATCACTTAATAGAAATTACATGTTTCTACCATGTATCATGATTCGACAACGGCTTGTAAATATTAATGGTATGTATGGCTTGTAAATATTAATGGTATGTATGGCTGGTAAATATATAAAGTTCCAAGGGGGCAATATGTCCAGTTAAATAAGTTTTACCTTTCTTTACAGGTATCAGAGGTGGAAGACATTTTGTGTTGACACTTATTGCTGGTGTGATCTTTGGATTTTTCTCTGCATGGCTTTTAATAACAACCACAAGAGATGTGCCATATACGTTTAATTGGTTTACTGGAGGACTAACGTCTTCTAGAGATCCACACCATTATTCAGAACTAGAATCAGAAGTGAGTATATTAAATAGAATTTATACTATTTGCCAAATTTGCTTGGACTCACCTAGTAATATGTTAAATACATGTAACAGGTTGGACCTGACACAGAGGTAAAATTCCATAGTGAATATGAAGATTTTCACAAAGGTGAAGATGAAGTTGCACGAGACCTTGCAAAGAAAGTACGTGTTCTTTGCTGGATTATGACAGGTCCAAAAAATCACCAAAGTAAAGCGCAACACGTGAAAGCAACATGGGGCAGACGTTGTAATATTCTCTTATTTATGAGTTCTGCTGAAGGTAAACTATATCTTTATATTATCTTAAATGTCAAATTGGAAAGACGTATCTGAAGCATTATTAAACTTTACCTACTTAGATACAAAGTTACCTACAGTTATTTTACCTGTGAAAGAAGGAAGGGACAACTTATGGGCGAAAACCAAAGAAGCATTCAAATATGCTTACGAAAAGTACAAAGACGAAGCCGATTGGTTTATAAAAGCTGACGATGATACGTTAGTATACTTTGTTACAATTTTATTATTACTTGCAGTTAGTTATTTGAAAGAGATAAATAAAATCAAAGTCCAGTACAGTTCCATTTTTATGGGTTGGATTGCTTGAATTTAAAACTGATTGAATTATTGTAAATTTATAGATACGTAGTAGTAGAAAATCTACGGTACATGCTGTCATCTTATAATCCAAGTTCACCACTATACTTTGGCTGTCGGTTTAAACCGTTTGTCAAACAAGGATACATGAGCGGTGGTGCAGGATATGTACTTAGCAAAGAGGCTTTACGTAAATTCGTAGTGGAAGGTTTACCTAATAAAACTAAGTGTCGCACGGATAATGGAGGTGCCGAAGACGTGGAAATGGGAAAGTGCCTGGAAAATATCGATGTTAAAGCAATGGATACACGTGATCCACACGGTCGTGGAAGATTTTTTCCATTCGTTCCGGAACATCATTTAATTCCCAACCACGTAGATAAAAATTTCTGGTATTGGAAGTACATTTACTACGATACCAAAGACGGCCTCAATTGTTGTTCCGATACCGCGATATCATTTCACTACGTGTCACCTAATATGATGTACGTTCTTGAATACTTAATTTACCACTTAAGGCCGTACGGCATTACGCACGCTGTGGAGAAACTTACTGTGGATCAGTCGATCACCGTATCAACTGAATACTAGTCTTTATTGTGTTGTTTTAATTGAAAACAGCGTAAGCAACGATGAGCGAGTTTCATTTCTTAAAATCTTGAAACTTAATACCTTGATCTGCTTTTGAAATCATTAATTATAAGCACCAAAAATCATTTCTCATTTTTGTTTTTATATACATAACGCTAGTCCATTCAGGCCAACGAATTTAACTATAAATACGTTCACTGAAAGATAAAGTGTGTGATATATAGGGTGAATCGCTCGCTGCTAACGTCAAAAGGCAAGCCGCCTGCTTTGTCGTTTAACTGTCCGTGACCGTAAACGGTAGCTTATCCCTATTCAACAGCCCATGTGTGTGACAAGAGACAGATCGAGAACCGACACTCTCTCTGTCTCTGTCACACACAGACTGCTCAGCAAGAGTAGCTAGCGACTCTTAAATGACAATACAGGCGGCTTGCCTCTCGACCCTAGCAACAAGCGATTCAACCTGTATAATATTACTACGTATATATATATATATACAGGGTGTCAATTTTAACTCAAGCACCTAAATTACGTCGCTCTATTATTGAAAGTAAAAAAAAATAACTAAATAGGATGTACATGATTTTAAGGCGTGCATCTGATGGTGATAAAATGTTTTTTACTTCTTATTACGTTTATTTACTTCTGCATTCTTCAAACTGAAGCTGATTTCTTCGTCTTCAAGGTCATGGTGCGTAGGTTGTTGAACTCATCTTGACGCCGACTACCACAACGCGTTATAAAAAATACACGTTAATATGCAAAAAAAATACGATGACCTTGAAAAAACCGTTAAAATGACCTTCACAGCATTTTTTTATCACCATCAGATGTGGATTAGAATAGGATGTCATTAGGATGTACATCCTATTTATAAATTTTTTCTTACTTTCAATGGTAGTGGAAATAATTTAGGTGCTCGAGTTAAAATTACCACCCTGTATATATATATAAAAAGATAGATTACACTCATATACAGTTGGGAGCTGCGGAGTTGCCGAGCTCCACAAACTGAACGACACAGGGGCAAAAGGGGTATTTCACTGACCAGTGGTTAGCACTGCAAGACGTATGTCATTACTGCGTCAATACCACGTATTTATTCTGTTATCGTTCTATCTCACTTTATCTCGTGTGTCCCGTTCCACTCCGTCACGAACGAATTTAATCGAAGGGCTTCTCGGCAGCTCCCAAGTATACATGTTACAAGCATATCAGAAATGCTGTTTCTTCCTGTATCGGTGGATCCCGATTGTATTATCTTATTTACGAACGCGTAAAAGAAAAAATATAACGTACTACGTATTATACGCGTAATAAAATAATGTTCCAGTCATTGATAACAAATTTGTAAAATATTTTATGTTCTCAAAATAAAAAGAAAAAACATTTGAAAAATCGCGTTTTTGTACAGTTTAATCCCCTCCAAAAAATAAATAACATATTATTCGTCTCGTTTATTTAAAAATTGTTGGGATTCTTCTAAGTGGAACTCCCTACAAAAGAAAACGTATTACATAATAATTTCATCTATAAATTCGTTATTCTTCGTACACCGAGAGGGCACTTTTTTTGTAAGATTTTGGAAGACCCAAGACGCGGAACGAGAAATAACGATGGAGTCCAGAGGAGGAATGTTCATGGAGATATGAAAACGTTTGTGGCGTTTCCATTATGCTTGCAACATCGAAACTGTAAGATACGCGTTTCGTGCGAAATGAGGTATATAATTATATATACACATAAAACTGTATTTCGTAATATTAATATAATAATGGTAATAATAATAATTAATAATAATTAATAATAATAATCCCAATAATGATGTTCTACCCAGATAATAAATACTATAGATACAGTGTGAGTGTGATGTGTGAGTAAATTAACCAATTAATTTTATAAGGGGGAGAGGATTAGGGGTTGCTATGTACAAGTCATATTTGTACTATGCGACTGACGCAACTAGCCACCATCGGCTTCCATTCAGACGCGCCCTGTATTCTCTTCTTTTGTCTTTTTATTTTTTTCCTTATATATTTTTTTTCTGCTTCGTTCGCTTGCTCATTTTGTTTGTATGTGTTAAATCATTTTTCCTAAGTTGCAGGGAACAAAACTGTGTTCTCTCATTCTCTTTTCTCTCTCGCTCCCTTCGTTCATTCTCAATTATCTAATATCTCGGCGATGTCTCACTTCATAAATTATTTAAAAACAATATTTTACACTATTAATGTATGTATAATATATAGAGGTCACCTAATTCGAATAAAATTTGTCAAACAGCATCGAAAAATTGCGCTAACGGGTCCAGGAAACATGATAACAGTGACCCAGTGCCGCGCGAGCATAATATAATATAATTATAATATTATATAATTGTCATACTTATTTCACACCAGGGGCTTGTACGAGGCATTATACTTGTAAAAAAGAAGTGTCGCCTCCCTTTCCGTTTCTTCGTTTTTTTTTCATTTATATGATCTATATAAAATTAAAAAACAACGTAATATCATTTATATTACTTCGTCGTTATTAATAATAAAAGCTTTGTACAAAATTCAATTTACAATTAAAAACGTTTTGGTTACGTAATTTTCTAGAGATTCTGATTTGTAATTGAACTATCTATCGACAGAGAGGCAAGTGAAAGTTACCTTCTTTTAACGCACTCTCTCTTTCTCTTTCTCTCTCTCTCTCTCTCTCTCTCTCTCTCTCTCTCTCTCTTCTGTTTCTCTTTTGCCGTCGTTTGTACAACACTCACTCTTTTTTTTTCTTCCTTGCGTTCTCATTCGTTCTCCCTTTTCTCTTTCTTTCTAACGTTTTCTCAAATTTTCATACGTTCTTTCAGTCTCTCTTACAAATATCATCGCATGCAATTCCGACTTTCATTCAACAAACTCCATTTGGTATGCGGCAATGCATGGTCGTTAATTAGTAGTGTCTTTGTGTTTTCTTTTCGTTTGTTAACGATTACTGATTAAACACAAAGCACAATCTACTTCTCTTGGTTTCTCCGGCTGTCGACAATTACACGAATGGAACGTTTTTTTACGAAAAAAAAAAAAAAAAAAATAAAGGAATTCTTATTTCGATAATTATTGAGTTCATATTATTTATCATCGCGGTATGACTTTACTTCACAGTATTGTATCAGTTTAAAGAATAAAAAGAAGCCGAGCAAGGAAAAGGGTGTCGGTGTTTATCGCGTCGAGGGATCATCGACGATTGGTCGAAGGATCATTTTAATCCCAGTTATCCGAAGAATCTCAGAGTCACTAACGTACACTTGACGACGGATGTAGGAAACCAGTTGCTCTCGTAAAGCCCCAAGTGATGGTATGGTTAAGGAGTGCGTGAGAGAGGTGCACATACTGCACTACGAAGGGAGAGGGTGTGGGTCAGACGAGAGCTGCCGCTGCATGATAGAGCTGCATGAGCGCTTGTACGTGGACTGGTAAGCAGGATAGCCGATCCTTCGTGTTCGCATCCACAGCGAGCCACGATAATGCATTGTACCCCTCTAACACGTATCTAAAAATCATATATAATTCAGTGACGGATGGAAATATTCATCTCTAAAATAAAAATATTAAACATTACTTATGTAATTTACATGTTCTCAAAAAAAAGAAAAGAAAAGAAGAGAATGTAAAATTGATTTATAAACCTGAGCACATCGGTGGTATACTGCGAGTCCAGCGGGTGAGCAGTGAGTGCACTTTGCTGTTGTAATAGATCATCACTATTCTGTTGTATTGCTGGACTATGCAAATGTAAGGCATTCTTCAAGAACACTGGGCAAACGCCTTCGAGATGGGGGCAAGCTGACCAAAACCATGGTGGCATACGTCCAGTTGGTGCAGTGGACACTAAGTAACCAAGAGCAAGTGGTTGTTGCAAAAGTGTTCCAACTTCTTCAGTTTGATCAGTAACCGCCACCTAATCATCAACAATTTCAAAGTCAGAATGATTCCTATAATGTTCGAATTGAAACAAGAATTTATAAGAGCTGCGTTGGTTTAGTTTTGGAAATTATATTTCCAGTTAATATTCTTTCCTGTTTGATCTCGACTTACTCTTGGTGTGTTGCTACATGGAAATGGACTACCAGGACCATCGTGATTGCCTAAACCCGAGCCACCGCCATCTCCACCCAGTGGGGATCCTTCAGGACGATGTGGACTGCCACCGGGGCTTTGTCCTCCACCAGCGCCAGCTTCTGGCCATACGTTGAAGATATCGTTAAAGTCTCCCATAGCCTCCATACCTTCTGGCATATCATCGTTTAAAGCGGAAAATAGTTCATCATCTCCTAATTCTGGTCCATTAATGTGCTGTTCTTGAAATGCAGTCTGTGATGACTATAGCGGAAAAATGTTAGTCTTTAAGAGCTTGTTATAAAATAACATTAATTTTTAAGTATTATTCAGGGTTTAGATCTAGTTTCATTAACCTTCAGAAGGCGAACTGGTTAAGCCCGACGGACACGAGCGGCACGTGTTATTTTGCAGTACATTATTCATTTATATGAAGGAATTCACACGTGACGCAGATTTCGGCGGCAACTTTGCGTCCTGTTTGCGTTCAGTTTTGCAGCAGCAGCATACGAGCGGTCAAATAATCTTAAGAATTTGTAATTACATACCTAATTTTAGTAATCTTTCTGATTACTTAAAGGAACATTTAATACTATGTTTTTCGATTTAAGGGAAGATGAGGTCAAATTTTGTAACTACTTTAGAACGAGTGTGAAATTGATAAACTATATATAAAGATGAATAACAACATTTATTTTTAAATAATACAAGGTTAATGAACTTATAATAAATGAAGGAACTAATAATAATTAACAAAAAAGGTATCAAGATATATAAAATAGAATTGAAAAGAAAAAATACACAAGTAAAATACTGAATTTAAATACTTGTTCTATTCCTTTTTGGAAAACATTTAAAACTTCTATTTTAAATTGAATTTTCTGATCAATATTAAAAGTCTTTATAATTGGAAGTAGTGATTGTAAAGATAATAAATCTTCATTCAATTTTGTGTGACCTTTCTGGTTCATAAATTTAATCATCATGTCTTCTAAAAGTCGTTTTCGTTTTGTCGCTGAGGCAATTATTGCGTATTCGTACAATAAATGACGCATACCGGATATATGAATTGCTCGAGAAAAATAATTGACTGTCCGCTGAGATATTAGCGTCACATTTGCGTTTTACAATACCTGCGTTCATTTCAGAAAACTCAAACTAGCCGCGAAGTTGCCGCCGGAATCTGCGTCGCGTGTGAATTGCTTCATAGAAATCAATGTACTGCCAGATCGCGGCGTCAAATCGACGCGACTGCAAAATAACGCCAGGCCTTAGATGATCAAACAGATGACAGTATCTGGCTCCTAATAGTGTTCTCCATTCTGAATGAATTTCTTTACAATATCCAGGTCTTCCAATAAAATGCTAATATAAACAACTATACGCCACAATTAGTTTTTTCAAGCTGGACTGCCACGCAAAGTTTTTGAAACCCTGGGGCAAAACAGACCCAGACATCGCCCTCCGATGGTTAAATAGATACTTAATGTTTTATCTTATCTGACTCGAAAAGTTGGAAAATCAAAATAATTTTTACCTGAGTGGTAGCAGATGTGGGAAAGACGAGAATATGAGTACATGTGACATCCTGTGGTGTAGATAATTGGCAGTTCACCGACGCCTGACTAAATCTTTCATCGGGTGTGAACTGATCAGCCATCAGTCTCAGAGTTGAATCTGGTTCTAATGAAACCAAGCAGGCGCTAAGCACGCAGGGCGCTGCCGATGGGTAAAGCAGGCCGCACTGACCACATATTTCTTTAAGATGCTTCGATGCTTTCAGGAGCGCCTTCCTGGATAGTAACCAGCTCCATCCCTTCAACTCTCCGTGTCCGATGCGTCCCACGCGGCCTACGACTAACCTCCACGGTTGTACCTGTATACGAGTTAATATTTTTAAGTGAACTTTGATCTCCTTTAACCCCTTGTCCTATAACATCGATTCAAACTCGTGTTGACGATTTCAAAATCGACTCAACAAAGAAGAATATTATTCGCTTTCCTTTGAGTCGACGTAAAGTGCCGCATTGCTGGTATTAATATTTAACTTTCATAGGAAAAATACAGTGGCGATAAGTACAGAATTCCTTTCGTTTCTGGGAAACTATCGACAACAATGTAATCTTGGAGTCTGCAGTAGGATTGAATTGAGACCGCCAAGGTATCGATACTTACTCGATATCGAAATAAAAGTATTGATACCTACTTGTAATGAATTATATTTCCCTAACCTTGATACCCAACACAAAAGTTGTTTATACCTTGAGAGAAAATAAAATACAATACTATACTTTATATACAGGGTATTTCACCTAACTTGACCACCTTAAATATATCGCTTATTTTGTATGATAGAAAAAATTTCAGAGGAGAAAAATATTCTGTTCGAAGGCGCCAATACGGTGATGGGCCGAATTTTTTTCTCAAGGTCATTTTTTCCATGATTTCAAGGTCATCGAATTTTTTTGTAAATGGGGCTACATATTTTCACTACAACACTCTTATAGCATATTATAAAACAAATCCAACGAGGTGCAATATGTTGACCTTCACGTGACCTTTAGCGAAAAAATCATGAAATGTTTGTCAGTAAGCTTAGTACGCGTTCGGGGACGGTAAATGAAGGAATTTCAATTTCATTGCAACAGTTTTTAGTTAAATCTTTATTTTACAAGGTGTTCAAAATGTGCACCATGAACCTGGATACATTTTTGGAGG